GGAGAAAAAAAAAAAAAAAGTGAAGGCAGCGATGGCAGCAAAGCGCAGCGAATGGCAGCGAGAACGGCAGCGACCGGCAGGGATAGAAATAAACGGCTTAGAAAATTAAATAATAAATAATTATTAAAAAAAAGAATAAAAATAAAAGGCTTTTACCTCGAGCTCCGATTCTCAATGCGTTATTCCTAAACGGAACAACTTGCGCGATCGCACGTTACGTGTTTATAGATAAACATATAGATATATACTCTTTGCGGGTCATCCTTGCGCAGGCGCTGTGCTAATCTTCTCTCTGTATCGTTCCAATTTTACACGCGGATGTACGTCACTTGGATACGATGTACCTAGTCAGATGTTTGTTCCTTGTGCCAGCTAAGCTTGACAGTCTCGCCTTTCCAGCGGCAGAGAAGAGCCTCGGCGCGCAGCAACATCCACGCGTCAACGTGTTGGCGCGTGGTTGGTAGCCCCTTTCGCACCGTAGGCTGTGTCACGCACGAGATTCAGGGGGCAGAGTCCCACTAGCACGGAGGGTTGGCCTATGTGCCTGAATCTGGATGGATTTTCGGCACAGGTGCAGAAGAGCAGAAGAATCGCGATTTTCTGCACGTCCCCACGAACACGTCCAGATTCAGGTTGTAAATCAGATCCTCTTTGCCAGTGGGACCTCGCCCCTAAAGGTGATCGCAGTAGATCGAGAAACTGTCCCGGGAAAACGAAGAGAGTAAATATTGTTTGTTGAAATGCCCCTTAAAGTTCGAGTAGCTCGCCAGATACCCCTAAAAGGCATGAGTATGTCGGAATGACGAAATGCCGAAATGCCCCTATGACAGTAGTAAAACTTTGCAAAATATCCCACTCGCCAAATTGGAGCTGCCATCTTTTGCGTATACCGCTACAGGGCTCTGGGAAAATTGTCTATATGCCCCGGTATTTTAGGCCGTCGGACCCCTGCAGATTGCAAAAGAAATGCACGGACCCTGCAGCCGCGGACCAGGGCATATGGCAAAGTTGTTAATGAACACGATGTGTTTTAGGGGTATCAAACGAGAACCAAACGTTTTAGGGGTATTTCAACAATGTTCCCCACAAAAGAGCCTCTCTGGCCTGGTCTCCTCCCATTTCGTTATTCCAGCAAATAAAACACTTACACCACCAGTACTTGGCCCAGCTGTCGATGCTGAGCCTGAAAACGGGCTGTGCCCCCTTTCGCGCTGACCCTCCAGCGCAACCAAAAAAACTTGTTTTGGCTGGCGGCGCCAGCCTTGAGGGCCGGCAAACCACCAGTACTTGGCCCATACATC